TGGTTTCACAACACTGTGCTGTTGCATGATAACATTACCTTTAATGCCATAACATTGTTGCAGTATACCAGTCTTCCCTTGTTTATTGCTTTTATTGTTTGGGTTCACCTTCACGTTGGTTACATTTTCTGACTCAGGATTACTCAGGAAATGTTAGGGCCTTCACGTCGCTAATTATTAGTGATATCAACTTCCCTGGTGAAGACACAGCAGCATACCGAACTAAATAAAGGATACAGTCACAGTCAACGCACCGCACAGCTCCCGTGTGTCCGTTGTAGGTACCGAGTCGTACCACACGTTGGCCACCTGTGTGGGGAGACACTGTTGAAGGTAAATATTAAAACTCTCCAATGCAATCATAGCTTTGCTTCACAAATTATTGGTTTGCTCTACATTATGGCCGCCACCAATAACTTCAGGAAGACATCCATGTTGCACTACTTTGCTTTTAATCTGAATCAAAATAAATAAATTCTACTGGCCTTAGTCGTGTCTCCTTTTCATGATAATTTTATCCTTTTAATATCATACACACTACTACAGCATATGGCCTTATGTTTGTAACACAACTGCAACTCAAAACTAGCACAAGATTACTCTGCTACTCGACTAGCAGAGTCGTGTTGCCATTTGTAGCTCCACATGGACATTCCATATCTTTACATCAAACTAATACTACTATACTATACTATAGTCATTGGTGGCACTTGTTAAGCGCAATCATTTCGTGTCACTCACTGGATCTTTAGAGACGGAAAATATCTTCCGTTGTACTTGATCTGAGTGATGGACCGTTCGTGGCCCTGCAGTAGGATGGGTTTCTGTACAGAACTTTGCAAGTTCATTTCATATTCTCAAGAGGGAGCCCAGCTCAAACTCTTGTGAAAGGCCAATTTCTTATTTACCACCACAACTCTATGTCCATTATTTAGGACGAAAAACTAACTGCGAATCATTTTAACTTCTGACCAAAGCTAACGTTAGCTGCCGAGAAGCGCATGTTATCGTAAATTACACTGACGGTCTCGACCGAACGACTACCATTTCAAACAAAATACAACCGACAATTGTTTTCAAACACCTACCATTTCAATCAATCACATATAGCCACCGTGTCCAGTTTCTGTGACTTGAACGCCCGCTGGAAACCCAAACGGCTAACACTCACGTCTCATGCGCCGGATCCGCAACCGGAAATAAGGATCTTACAATGTATTCCTATTTACGTTATACAAACGTTGTGATTTGTCCATCTATCCCAAGATCTGCACCGTTTGTGAGATGCCGCAGCCGACCCCACGTACTCCCACTATCATCCCCCGTTCGAACTCAGTCGTGACTTCTCCACGAATCACAGTCGCAAAATATCCTGTCGTCTTTTCTTCTTTTCCGCTTAAGCCAACCTAGAACTCTGCATTAAGGAACATCACTGCCACCTACTGCGTCAAGTGTGTGTATATATATATATACTGTATACTCCATAGCAAAGTGGGCCGGGTTTGGGCATGAAACTCCAGGACTGAAAAAGGGGCCCACTCCTGCCGTGGTTAAAAGTCATCAAATGTATGATGTGACTTGAGTCCACACCTGGCATTACCCCTTCCGTTAACATATTTTCACAAAAACAAACAAACAAACAAACAAAAAAACATCGAAGCATTTTCCAATGTTCGCGGCACTTGAACGCAACAAGGGTTATGAAAGGAGAAATGACGTGGTCGTCTATGTTCAACAGTTTCACTTCCTACAACAGATTCCTGTGTCTTTACACACACTGGGCTTGTGGAGTTAAGTCAAACCTCCCTCTACACAATGGTGAGTTTAGTGTTATGTTAACATTTTGTATCAGTTGCCTATTTAAACATTGACATAACGCAGCCGTTGTCCTCAATGCTATCGTTAAAAACTTTGCAGTTGAGCTCGTCTTATTTAAACAAACAAAGCTATTGCGTCGGTGTGTTAATGTTAAGGTGTGTCATGTAGTGTGTCAGCAATGATTTATTTGTCTGATTATGTGAGGTTTTATTAGAACAGAAGCTGATAATTCTCCATAAAAGGGATGAGTACACAAACGTGACGCAATGGGAATTTTGTTAACATATGTTGATAGAACACGTACAAACGCATGTATAACCGTGGCACTATATTATTAAATATACAGTGGTGAAGTCCATTATTTTGTTGAACAGTTGTGCTTTAATTCAAAACAGTGATATCAGTCTATTTGAAAAACAAAAGATCGTTTTATGCAACAAAATAAACAAGCATACAATGGGGTTGCAAATGATTTCGACTATGTTACAGGGAACAAACCACAATCACTAAGCCATATGTGTCAAACTCAAGGCCCGGGGGCCAAATGCGGCCCGCCAAGCAGTTTTGTGTGGCCCGCAGGAGCTTAAAAGACATTCAGTAAAGTTCATGCAGCAGAGTTTCTTAACCTGAGAAATTATTTATTACACAACAATGAACAAAATTTGGAACTTGAATAAATAATAATCAATTGCAGAAACATGTATTAGTCTGGAATTGAGTAGTAACATCTATACCAGCGGTCCCCAACCTTTTTTCAGCGGGTACCACCTGTTACCTGTTATTACCAGATTATCTTTAAATAAAGACAGTAAATGGATTTGACTGGATTTTCTTTGAATGAAGTAAATTAGTAAAAATGAAGTACATTTTTTTCACTGTGTTCCAAAGTGGCCCAGTACTAAAAGACCTATGGACTGGTACTGGTCCGCAGACCAGGTATCGGGGACCCCTGATCTATATAGTCTAACATTTAGGAACTGTATTGATGATGTGGCCCCCTGGTGGAAATGAGTTCGACACTGCTGCACTAAGGTATCAGCCAACCCCTGATGCAGTTACTGCCCCCTACAGGTTCCTATTGAACAAGTTTCAACATCGGCACTGAGTCAGGAAAAATGACCATCAGGATTTTGTGACAATTTAAAGTTTGTTTGTTTTTTTTTTTTGTTTGTTTTTTGTGAATGTCAAATATTACAAAAGTAAATAATGATTCTTGCCTTCCAGCTCACCGGTAGATCGCTGATGGTAACTGATAGTCACAAAGTATACAGTTTATTTTCCCATTCATGTGTGGGTTTTCACTGATCTGATTTTCTCCCCCAGTACAAAGAACATGTATGATTAGATTTAGTGGACATTGTAAATATTAACTCATAATTAATAATTAAAACTTCTGTTCTATTCCTCAGTTGTGACTCTTCAGCAGTCAACATGGACCAGGCCAAAAAGGTCAAATGTTTATACCTGCTCACGTGCCACAGAGAGATGCTGGTGTCCAAGGTGAGGAGCATTCAGTGTATCCTGGACAACCTGCTGGCCTGTGGCTTCTTCTGTGAAGAAGATGTTGAGATTGTACAGAGGACTACCACCAAGACAGCCCAGGTTGGAAAACTGGCACCAAATATGCCACATAGATGGTTTAACTGTAAAATGATTTGTGTGTATCTATATCTTTTTTTTTTCAGGTGCGTAAAATTCTGGAGTTTGTCCAGTGCAAAGGGGAAGAGGTCTGTGAATACTTCCTCTTTATCATATATAAAGTAGGAGATGCTTACATAGACCTGCAGCCATGGCTGAAGGAGATCAACTTTCACCCAAGCAATGACGTGTCAGTGATGAAAGTTGTAAACACTGATCCCAGTGAGTATTAGGGTCACACTACTCTATTATTTGTTACTACTACTCTACTACTACTACTCTATTACTTTTTTATTTATTGCCAATACATTGGACAGATGTAGCAAACCACTGTTTGTACCACTGTCTTATACTGTAAATGTGAACTGATTTCCTGTTTGGAAAAGGAGGAAGTACCATACACAAATTGAACAAATTTTATAATTTGTAGATTGTGTTTATTCATGTAAGTAACTTATTTTATTCATGCTTTGTCGAGTGTTGCATCAAAAAGTGAAACTATAAATTAGTTTTAGATGGCTAAAAATAAGCCAAAATATGACAAATTTAAACCAAATGAAATTGGAAAAATAGCTAGTAGTTACATTATCAACTTTATAAAACAAGCTTGTGCAATTTGAAATGAGGCATAGAGTTGTTGTTAATGTCACAATGTTAATTTTAATGTTAATATAGTTATATGTTAATACATACATAAAGTGGCAGATTCTTCATCTAAAACCTCCCAGTTACTTTTTCGTTTCGTTTTTCCTTTCTCGTTTTACCTGGCCATTTGTGATTTCTGAGACCGGTTCTGCTCATTCGATTTTTACTAATTAACATATTCTACTCTTTAGTCAGCAGGTACTGTGCAAAGCTGAGACTTGAAATGAGCCGTGACACTTCCTTCATTATGTCCTATGGGCAGAAAGAGGAGACCCATCTGGAGGATCTGTACACTGACACCCTGATGGAACTGTTGAACAACTCCAACGAAAGCCTAGGATTTGTAGAGAGTCTGGATCAGCTTCTTGGAGACCATGCAGTCTTTAATCCTCAGGGGGAAATCATCTACGTGATGGGAGACGCTGGTGTGGGAAAGTCTATCCTTCTGCAGAAGCTCCAGAACCTCTGGTCCCAAAAAGCACTGCACACAGATGCTATCTTCTGCTTTAAGTTCCGCTGCAGGATGTTTAGCATTTTTAAGGAATCAGAGCAGATCTCCCTCAGAGACCTTTTGTTTAAATACAACTGCCACCCAGATTATGATCCAGATGATGAGGTATTTGAGTACATTCTGCGCTTCCCTGAAAAGATTCTCTTTACATTTGATGGCTATGATGAGATCCAGGAGGATCTGGACCTGCTGAATGTCCCTGAGGTGGTATCTCCAGATCATGAGGCTCATCCCCTCCAACTGCTGATCAGTTTACTCTGCGGGAAACTACTCAAAAACTCCCAGAAGATCTTGACAGCTCGAACAGGAATCGAAATTCAGAGCAAAGTGATCAGAAAGAAGGTTGCTCTACGAGGGTTTTCCCCATCTCATCTGAAAACCTACATTAATCTGCACTTCAAGGAGCGGGAGCACAGAGAGCAGGTGGCACTTCAGCTGTATGCTAGTCCTCATCTCTGTGGCCTTTGCTCAACCCCACTCTTCTGCTGGATTGTCTTCAGGACGTTCAGGCACCTGCACACCATGCATGATAGCTTCCATCTGCCAGAGACGTCCATTACCCTGACTGGTATCTTTCTTCTGCTGTCTGAGTCATTCTTTAGTCACTCGACTTCAACTGCCTCATCGTTGCTAAAAAAAAACACCAGATGTTCCACAGAGACGTTCAAAGCTAGCCTAAAGTCTCTTTTTTCATTTGCCAAGCTTGCTTTTCAAGGTCTGGAGAGAGGGAGCTTTATTTGTAACCAGGAGGAGATCACTGCCTGCGGTCTCACAGAGGAGGACCTAACTCTGGGGTTTCTCAAACCTGTGAGTGAGTTTGATGCCAATGGAGGTTCTGCAAACTTTGAGTTTCTCCATGTTACTCTTCAGTCCTTCTTGGCAGCTTTTTTTCTTCTGTTGGATGATCAGTCTTCAGCAAACTCCATTTTGAAGTTCTTCACAGAGTGCAGCAGAAAGAAGGAACAATCCTGTCAACTGTTTAACTTATGTCTTAATGACTCCTCAAACCAGAGTGAAAAAAATCCATTTGCGACCAATGACCACCTTCAGTTCACCAACCTCTTCCTGTGTGGACTTCTGTCCAAAGCTCACACTGGCCTTATGGAACATCTAGTATCTCCTGTGCTCCTCAAGAAAAAACGGACCCTGCTTAAATCCTACTTGTCTACTAGTGTGAAGTCCCACCTGCATGGTCTACCACATTACCACAGCGATGAAGGCAACAAAGTCCATGTGTTGCCTAATTTTCTGTGGATTGTAAGGTGCGTCTTTGAAACTGGGAGCCATGACATTGCTTATATGACGGCCAAATGCATCACAGCAAACTTAATCAAACTAGGCTACTGCAACATCTACTCTGGCGACTGCACGGCCATCAATTTTGTGATGCAACACTGTCAGAAGCGCTTGGGGCTGGACATGGACAACAACAACATCAGTGACTATGGAGTGAAGCAACTGAAGCCTTCTTTTTGTAAGCTGACCGTGGTGAGGTAAGAGACAAAAATGATCTGTACTGCATCATTCCAGTAACCTCCGTAGATTGTAACTCAATGATCTGAAGACCTTTTTTTTTAAATCAGATTGTCTGTCAATCTTCTGTCAGACAGTAGCATCGAGGTGCTAAGAGAGGAGCTGTGCAAATACAAAGTTGTGGAAGTTTTGGGGTAAGTAACCCTCACTTTTGAAGAAAACAATAAAATTGAATAAATTACATTCTCTTTAAGTAAATAAATAAGGGGAGAGTGGACTGGTGGACTGGAGGTCTTTGGGGTCATCTAGCCCAGTGTTTCCCAAACTTTTTTTTCTGGGGACCCATATTTAAAAAGTCACAAACCTTCGTGACCCAACCTCTAACCATCTTTTTTGTCAACATTCTCAGTCTCTACAACAACCAAATCACAGACATCGGAGCAAAGCTTGTTGCTCAGATCATTGAAGAGTGCCCAAAGTTGAGAATTGTCAAGTACGTTTCTAATGTAGAGAAATAAATATTAGTGACTAAAATGTGGCTATGGTTATTAAGTGTTCTGATCTGAATTTATCCCTTTCACCAGGATTGGTAAAAACAAGATCACTGGTGTTGGTGGGAGGTACCTGGCTGCTGCCATTCAGAAAAGTGCATCTATATTTGATGTCGGGTGAGAAATAAAACTAAGGAATATATATATTTTACACCATTGACTAAGAGATACACGAAGAACCCTGACAAAATTCCCATAATAAATTACACAATTAAAAAATAGTTTTACAGTTAGGTAGGTGGTTTTGTCTTTTATATAATGTAAATCTAATTGTGTTTCAAGAAGCATATTGTATGAACTCTGGTTGTTAAGTTTGGAAAACATGTCTTAATGTTAACAATGTGGTATCATTTGCAAACAAACAGACTTTATTGTGTACATTAGTTATTTGGCAAAAATCTATTAGTGGACATCCCTCTTAATAAGAAAAATCTCTTCAATTCTTTTTTGCTGCTAAAAGCATACTTTCTTTGTGATTACCTTATTAATTTTAATACTCTGTATATGTTTAAAAAAAGTATTCTTGTGCATACAACTAGCAATTAACATTCCTACAGGCTGTTTCACTTTAATTACTTAATGTTTCTCTGCTAGCATAGATAGTTTCTGTGCATCTGTTTTGTGCATTCTTCTTGATTTAATTTTGGTCACTGACCTCCTGACATTAGAGAATTGATAAGTAAAGATGAATAGCTTCCTGCATGTCCTTCAGTCATTTAACTTACATCATAGCAGGTTGGAAGTGGGCTTAGACATGACTAAAGTTTTGGCTTTCATCCTTTTGTTTATGAGGTGAAACATCTTGAAGAAAATGTATGCAAGTCTAGAGCCTACTTCTGGACTGTGTAAGAAGTTTGTTGAAATTTGATGTGATGTATTTGCATGACCACAATGGTACCTCTTTGTAATAATAAATGTGAACTGAATCTTTTTTGTTTAGGATGTGGGGAAACACCATTGGGGATGAGGGCGCAAAAGCCTTTGCAGAAGCTTTGAGGAACCATCCAAATCTAACCAACCTCAGGTTAGGAACCCTGCAAACTACAGAGAAAACACATTGAGGTAAACAGACAGTAAAGTCACATGTCTTTGTTCCAGTCTCTCAGCCAATGGCATCACATCTGTAGGTGGGAAATTTCTGGCAGAAGCCCTGAAAGAGAACAGCGTCCTCAGGATATTCTGGTAGAACTTCACCTAGCTAGATCTAACTGATGTTCTGTTCTGTTCTGTTCTGTATGAAGTGTGGTGTTCTCTCTAATGTCTGTGCTGTTGTAGGTTGGTGCAGAATGAGATGACAGATGATTGTGCTCCACACTGGGCTGAACTAGTCAAAGCAGACACTGGTTTAAGACACCTCTGGTATGAACTCTCAGAATGTGATTTTACTCACTTGATGTCTGATGGGAGCAGGCGGGGGCTGTCTGACACTCGGGAGCCTTGTGTGTTTGTCTGCAGGTTAATCAGCAACCAGTTCACAGTGAGTGGGATCAAAGACCTCGCCGAGGCACTCGCTCACAACACTGCACTCCAGGAGATATGGTGAGATATGGTGCTGTTTTAACATTTTTATGTTACAACGTTCACTTCTTTGGTAGGACAGTTTAGTCAAATGTAAAAAATATTATTTTTACCTTATTGAGCCGCAGTCAGAGCGCCCCCTGCTGAGGAAAAAAATATTATTTTTACCTTATTATTATTATTTTTACCTTATTATTATTATTTTTGCAGTCAGAGCACCCCCTGCTGAGGAAAAGGAAATGTTCAATATATGTTCATATATATGTAAATTGTTATAAACGTTGTAAAAGTCAAATCAATAAATCGTACCTTGTGTTTACTTTTTGTATTCCCACAGTGTGAAGGGTAACCAACTTTGTGAGGAGGAAGAGAACAAGTTTGTGTCAGAGGAACGGCTACGTTTCCACTGACTGGAGTCATAGTGGAGAAAGTACTAATTGTATCAGCATAGTACTGTGTCTTTCCTGTTTATAGTATTACCCATTTCTGTAAATACAGATGGCAAGGCTACACTATTTTATGGCTGTTAGTTTGCATTTAGTTGGTTGAGCCTGTCCTGTATTGGCCGACACCAACAGTTGTGAAAAAGGAAGTGTTGGTAAACAGGAAGTAAACAGGCCGATGACTTCTTTCTCAAGGTCTGATATCTTTTAAAAAAACACAGTCATAGTGTAATTACTGTGAACATGACCTTCATTAATTATTTGACAATTACATATGATAGTATTGTGGTTTTGTTTGGGGCAGTGGTGGCTAAGTGGTGAAGCGGACTTGGGTCCAGAAGGCTTCAGGTTTGAGTCCACCAAATGCCAAGTTACCACTGAGGTGCTCTGAGCATGGCACCGTCCCCACACACTGCTCCCCGGGCACTGAAAGCTGCCCCCTGCTGACTGTGGTGATGGGTTAACATTTGGTTGTGTGCAGTGGTGTGCTGTGTCACAATGACAGGGAGTTCACTGTCCTTTCCTTCCTTGTTTCAACACGTTTAACTGATTTGGCCCTGCAAGTGAGATGGTGAAAAAACCCTCTAAATTTCAACTATTTATGGGGTTAGCAAAGTGTTATTAACTTCTGGTAATGTAACCTTCTTTCCTTACTCAATGTGTATCTGCAAACATTTGTATATGTGCAACAGAAGCTGATCCAAATATTTTATTTAAAAATGTTGTATTAGCTTCAAACACAGTTACATGAAATAAAAATGCAGTAGCTCAACCAAAAATGATCAGTATCCAAATGATTTACTCTCTATTGTGTTTTTCTGTACATACAATTTTTACATAAATAAATATTTGAGTATACAATGTGATTATCTGTAGTTACATACAGTACTACAACTGCACACATTCTGTTTTTTGCCATATAAGGTAATGCTTGTTGGGGCTCAGAACAGGGCTATAAAATAAATTATAAAAGCTATTCAAAAGTGCTTGGTTGATTCTATAGTATTTCACATGAGGCTTGTAGTAGAACAGTATTGTCACCAACTAAAAACAAAAAATGTCAAAGGCTTTAAATTCAACCATCAATCTCATTTCCTTCAACCCACTGTGCAAACATTCAATCATCATTAAACTCATATTTACAGTTCTAACATTCCAAATTTTCAGTTGGCAAACTTGGTCACTAGGTCCAATAAACAACCCCTGATATCCAGGTTCCCAAATTGTAGGCCACATTTAGCGAGTCACAAACCAAAACCAGCTTTCTCTTGACCCTTTGTTGGTCAAACAAACCTGTCTGGACCAAAAAGTGGACGTGTGTCAGCAAAAGCCATTGCTGCGTGTGGGTCAAGTGAAGTGATGGCCACTCTGTTGTTTTATTGTTATTATACACTTTGGCTTTAAACTGAAGTTCTGTATGAAATGTCAATGTGAAGCAGCTCCAGTACGTTGTGTGAAATCTGTGAATTGGATTTGAACACAGGTTTTTTTTTTTACTTGAATGGTTCACTATTCTCTACAGGGACAAATTATTTTGTGCCATCGTCAGCCTCTAGTGATCCAACCAGTGGTTCATTTTCTCCTTTTCTCTGTCGTACTATGGCTAAACAGAAGCAACTGTTCCTTAAAGTTATATATAATATTTAAAGGGATACTGCGGCAATATATTATCACATTTTCATAAAGAAGACAGAAAGAAAATTGCTAACAATTTACAAATAGCTGTCAAAAGATACCAACATTTTCGTATTCACTGCTTTTTGCGCCATTCACGTTAGAAGTAAATATAAACGAAACAGGTGAAGGACATGTTTGTCATGTTCGCTGTAGTCAAAACAAACACTTGTGCAACTGCTGTTAGTTTGATCAACTCCAACATGTTCAAATGTCACCGTTCACATCCTGTTGCACAGAAACCAGTTTGTCCACATCCTTAGATGGAAACATGCCATTGTTCAGTCTGACGATGCCAGTAAATTGTTCTTCAACAGTTACGGCAAATATCACAGTGTATTCATTTAAGTCTTACAGTAAGCCCACATTCAACAGGAAACGTTACCAAATTTGAGAATGCAAGAGATTAGTTTGCAGTTAAGGAAGGGTTTACAAGATGGCAGTGAGATCTGCTATGATATGGTTTCAAAATGAAAGTATTGTCTAAAACAGATGGCCCCAACTGACAAACTGTGGTGGGGGGGGGCGTGTTCACACTGGCACTTAATAGATGTGATGCACAGATGATGCTTAATATGATGGTAGAAGATGCAGGAGATGAGAATGAAGAGAGCTCTCTATCTGTCAACAGAGAAATGAAAGATTTATAAAACCTGAGCGCTTTTATCTTCCCTACCTAAGACTCTTTTCTACAACTGTCACCAAGATGTTTGAAATTTCACTTTGCTCTGCATGACTTCACTAATGAATTGTACTGGGAAAACAAAAACTGGCACAGATCAAATGTTAGCAAAGCATTTGAATAAAGCATATGAAGTATACTAAGTATTCACTAATAAGTAAAACTGTGTTTTATGGACTGTTTTAATAGGAGGAATTATTAGTCACTAAAACCCCTCGGTATGTACTGCATAGTCAATATGACTGCTACCATTGAGACATGCATGACTCTGTAGCAACCCCCTGTGGTGTAACAAGGTGTCGCATTGTTTGTAATATTTTTATCAGCAGCCTATGAAATTTACTGTACACTGATTCCAATGCACTTCTGATTCTGTAATATTTAAAAGACAAAATGTTTTGGAGAACCCTGTATTCTACAGAAGCTCAGCCGGAAATTTGTTTTACCTAAAACCTGAACAAACTAACCTTTGTATTTCACAGTAACAATAAAAGCACCGGTTGTAAGATTTTTCAGGTGCAATTTTAGGTATTTGAAGTGAATTCTGTTGCAAGCCCTGTTCTGGTTGATGCTTTTCTGCTTCCCTTGATCACTCTTCCTATCTTTAATAAAAGGTTAAATGTTGATTTTAGACATTGATTAACCTGTGGCTTTAACAGGCAAAAGGCTGTTACTGTAAAACTCAAACTCAGAGCATTGAGATGCCATTAAGACCTAAACTAGAGATGGACCATTTGTGGAGCACTTTAAAAACAAACAAACAAAAAAAAAACATTGTGTGATTGCTCCTGGTTGATAGTAACCAGAAATCTGCTGTGATGTGAGTGGCCTCTGAGGAGTGGATTGGGGATTTAGTGACTGATTAACTCCTCCTCTTCAGTTTAAGAGGAAGTGACCTGGAAAACCCCTGGCTCTGTCGCCTGGTTAGACAAAGACAAGCCTGTACACACATGTCTCTGAGCTGAGGGACCTCACGTACATTCATCTCAACATTGTCAGTCGGGAAGTAAAAGTGAAAGTAAGCTTAATTTTTTTTTCTTGCTTCCATAACTGTGACTCTAAAAGAAACAAAACAACCATTAATAGAAGTGAAGTTGAAAGGATCACGAGCTGAAGCTTGTTTTCCAACATACTTGAGTGGAAACATCATTGGGGGAAAATCACATATGACTGCTTTGAAAATGTATATAAGGAAAACAATAAAGCAGCTTTTTTGTTTTCAGTATAAAAATAATGATCAGTCAGAAAAATTAGGTTGGTGGTTAAAGAGTTTCACATATTTGAGGCTTCAATGCTCTATAAGTGTTGATAATATCAGATGGTTAAGTTTCCTATTGATTACTGTTCTGTACACTGTTCTTCAGACACAGTACAGGTCTTCAGGTCTAGTCTCCAAACTGACAAGATACAGATGAAGCCAACTAGTCTATAATCATATGAATGGAACCAAAGCAGCCAAGACAAAAATCAACTTTCATGAAACTAAATCTATTGTATTATTATTAAAAGATATTTTTTTCATTTTCTTCCCCTCTAATGTAAAATATCAATTTAAAAGCTTCTGATTGGACCAGCAGAGGGCACTCTAAACCCCACTCTACCTCAGATCTTCTCTGTCAGTATAAGGAGGAAATAACTCTAGTGTTATTTAGCAAGTTAGCACAGCTGGTATCTGGGGGTTGGGGTAGGGGTGCCCCCCATGGTTGCTGAAACATGCATATTTCTGATTTCTTTAAAACTGTAAGGCTGCGCACATTTTGTAATATTTTAGTCAAAATGCTTTTTTTCCCCGTAGGCGAGACTGTCCCGTTATAACAACATTTTAACTTTTTCAGAGACAGCCTGTGAATCCAAACACAGCGTTGTATCCTGGGATTTCTTGTCAAGAGCTTCTTAGATCATGACCTTGATTATCCAGCTTCCCTTTCTCTGCCTCAAGATTCTGGAGCTGATGCTTTTTGACCCCTTGTGCATGTCTGTTCTACCTTGACATTAGACACTGACCGTGCTCTCAAGAGATCGTTTAAAAAGAATTGACCAAAATTGTCAAAGTGTCACAGTGAGGAGAATACGCTGCCATACGTAGAGGGTACAGGAAAGTTTTAGCAACTGAAGAACACCACTGAAGAAGTTACTACACAGTGTCCATAGTGTGTTTGTTGGCACCGTTGTCACGGCAGTGACAGCCTCAGTGCTGAACATGTCCTCAGTGCTGATGCTGACTTTGTGTCTGGCTTGTGTCTCCTGGGGGGGTAAAAAGTCACAATGATGAGCTAGTGGTAAAGATATAAGCAGTATGGACTTATATGTGCTGCCCCCTCATGGCTGATCCCCACTACGACAAGGCACTGATGGATGCTGCAGGACCAAAGTCTGGGACTCCTCTCCACCACTCCCAGGCCACTGTCCACCTCCTCCAGTGTCCTGGAATGAATCTGCTGACAGCTGCCCTTCGTGACCTTGGGAGAAAGTGTCATGTGCAACTTTGCTGCAGATCTGAGCTGGAAATCAGCCGGTCCAGGTTGATGTCCAGGAAGATGGATGTACAACTAAAACATAAAATCAAAATCCCTGAAGATTGTTGAAATGACTCGACATTTGGCACGCCATGGTACAACACGATCACAGTGGTTACAGTGTCCAACAGTCTCTCTGGATCCACACGTGATATGGCAGATCAGTCACTGAGGGGTACCTGCCATTCAACGCCCGCAAGAGATGTGTTAGAAGGCTTTTTAAAAGCTTATCCGGATCAGGAAGAACACCTCACCTGTGCAAGAAGCTTCAATCTGACGGATGCTCTGGACACGATCTGTTCACTTCGAACCACTCGTCGATGCAGCTGCAACACATGTAGGTCATTAAGTATGAATCCTTACCATAACCCTGTGCACTCGACAGTGGAGTGCCAAGCTATTGTAATAACCTTGGGAGAGCATAAATCTGGGGGGGACGAGGGGGGGTTATCTTCAACCTCTTCTACAGCGTGCCTTCTTTATCTTTTCTCCCCTTGTTTATTTGGTCTTTCATGAATCATTCTACATTAAAATGTATGCATTTGGCAGTGACTCATTTATCCAAAAATATTTTATATTTATGTAAATGTTTTTAACCCCAAAGAGGGAAATGTATTTTTTGCAACTTCCCTTTCATTTGGGACTTCTTCTTCTGTGAGACTGTCGTCTGCATCTGTGTGGTAACGTCTAGTTATACAAAGAGGAACCTACACAGGCTCCTAAACAACACTATCAATAAACCTTAATGCTTACAGTAAATAAAGCCGCAGCTTATTTATTTTAACGCCGTTGGATAAAATCTCCATAAGGACCAAATTATTAATGGTGAAGGAAAACCTTTAAAAAAAAACCCAGAACATAGCACTATTTTTATGCCTGAAACAGAAGACCAGCTTTTTTACCTTTTATGATAAATGCAGAGGCAGGGCAGACGAGCGATGGTGTCTCCCTGTTCCAGCTCCTCCAGGCAGATCGCACACTCTCCTGTGTCCTTGGTGAGGACATCCTCTGTAAGACAGCCAAAATGTCACATCACATTATGTTACCTCAAATCACAATACACCAATTCATGGTTGTAGTGAATCAATTTTAATAAAGAAGAATGTCCTGCATTTGCTGTCTTGTCAACAGTGACATGATTTGTTGTATATAATATAATAAACTAAGCAAATAAATTCATGGTAAAGTGAGTTATTTTAGGCAATTATGATGTGACACAACAATGTGCTTATATATGTGCTTGTACTTTACTTGTAATGTAAAATGATGCTGTACTCAAATATGACACTAATTAGTCTGTGAATTTAATGGCATCTTGTCAATCATTAAAGCAATTATGACAGTCAATTTATTGACAATACTTATATTGACATGATAATTAATAGTTAATTGTGACCAATACTAATATCACAATGACACACAAAATAATTAAATACACTTCCACTAGGTGGCAGCAGATGGCTATAAAAATAGATAACATCCAGAAGAATCATCATGTGTTAATCTTGAACTTCTGTGAGTATATTAGCATAGTGTTCAGCTAAACAGGACCACATTACAGTAAGTAAGTAAATTAAGTAGGTAACATGTAAGTTTTATATACTGTTGTGATCATTTTGTTTGGTTGTGAGCCAGGGGTTTTCTCTAAGGCATGTGTCAAGGTTAGGAAACATTGTTCAGGATGGTCAACGTTGGTTGCTTTGTCAGTTATTGTTATAGAATTCTCTAATTCATTAGCAGACCCTACGCTGGTCTAGTTGGTCTTGGGTTCTAATTCCTGCCAAACCTGACCGGCTTTATGTGGCAAAAGAATGGCAGTTCCTGGATGAGTCAATTAAATGATACCATTGACTGGCCAGCAAAATTCCGTTGGTCTAAAAAAAATCCAGTATTTTGTTCCTTTTGAGCAGCGGAGAATATAAACCTCCACTGTGAATGGTTAAAACTTTAAATGAAACACAACATATTCCAAGATTCCAGATTTCAAATCTAAACTGTCTTCTATGAATATCAGATGCTTTGCATCCTTGATGATGTAAATGTGTGTGTCTGTGTGTGTACTGCAGATGCAAGCACTATTATCCATCTTTCCCACTCCTTGCACTGCACTGGGTCATCATCATGTGCACCATTAAACCCATCACCTGCAGCCAAACAGGCAGAGGTCATTAGGCCCGGCCTTATGTAACAGTGGATTAGCCCACATACAGAGAAGGGCTTGGAAAAGCCACACGCTAACACTGCTGTAGATGACAGTATCCATCTCATATTTATTATACAGGCAGACAGTGTCAGACAGACCGATACTGGGCACAAACAAGGGTTTAATTCCATTTATGTGTACCTAACTGAAAAACTTAGTTCTACTGGGCAGAAAGCACTGTTCTCCATCAATGCACACAACTGATAGTAACAGTGACTTATTGAGATGAATGTGAAGGGACTTGAGCACCACCTCTGAACTTAATTCTTCGAAGCTCTTGAGCGAACAGTTTTAATGCTACATGAAGTCCTGGGAAACAGGCCAAATGTTTATGTTAGGTTAGATGGACATTGGCAGGAAACCACTCTTAAAGGTAACACACTGCAGATGAACATAAACATTCTATTCTATACTATTCATTTCCTATTACTTGTGGCTCATTTTCTGCTCTCATAGTTACCATGCTGCAGCCATCTCAGCTCATTACAACCTTTGTACTTAGCTCAACTACAAGTTTCTCACTGTGATTTCAACAGTCATTTTCTGCCTTTTTCCTCATAGTTAGTAACCCTTTCTCTGAGTTATTTTTGAACTCCCTAACAGTGAACTGCACCACAGACTGGTTGTATTCAGTTTGTCATTTTTCAATGTCTTTTCACATGCTGCTACACATGTTGTAGCCACAATCGTTACGCTTATGCTGGTTATGTGTGCAATCTTTGTATGTTTTAGTGCTGCACTGTGGACACCAAGCAAGAAATTGCATACAGCCAGTTTTATTTTCTTCCTTATATTAAGAATATTTGAATGCAAAAAAAGTATTAACTAAAATGTCTTCAAACAGACACTGCCGTTATATGTCTGGGTACTTAAGACAGGAAATCCAAGAGCATGACACCAGATGCGTTCGGATGACTCGACTTTATGGTATAGAAATATAAATATATGTCTGAAACAGCTTCCAGACAGTTTGACATTTCTCTAATAACACCTTAGCTCTAGGTTCCAGTCAAAACAAGTCTGTTATGAGCAGGGTCTCACAAGACTCTAGAAATGCACACACAGCAAATACTTTCATTTTGTAGCAGTGATCTTAAAGAGAGTTTAACTTCCTGTCCATATATATAATTTGATATTGTTATGCCATTGCATGTTGTAGGACATTCATGATTTAACAGAAGCTATTGCTATAGCTGAGCGATAATTGCCAGTTTAAACGAGTTTAAACTGAGCTGGAAATGACAGATTGATCATGAAATTCCAAATTGACAAAAAGTCAAAAGGTGACTTAAGAATAGCTCATGGCCAGCTGAAATTACCAAGAAGATAATCGACATTTAAATGGAAAATCTAGAATAAAAAACTAGCTCACTAGCAGTTACAAGAAACAGTATGAAAGAGGAATTGAAAAACAGGAACTACAACAGAAACAGACTCTTAAATAACACAAAAGATACAAAAACAATGCAAGACTGCAAAGCTAAGAGCATTAGGTATTGCAAAAGGGTCTATTTTCAAATGATTCAAAATGGCTTTGTTTCCTTGAACTGTAAGAATTCTTAACGTGGCCCTACTGACCTTTGAACCTATGTGTTTAAAAGATACAGACGAGATCAGACAGCATTCAGCTCAGACGGAAAGAGCTGCAGCGGCAGCAGATTGACCTCTGCTCTCTCTGTTGACGCTGTTTACTGGAATTTACAGCCTGACTGTGACAGCGTGATCGGTCAGTTCCACACGCAGTGGCAGCAACAGCTTCAAAATGAGAAACGAGGTCAGAGACAACGCAAGAGCTGTGGTGTGGCAAAACGTGACAGCTGCAGACCACTGTAGGTCTCTAACCGCGGCTAGTGTGGAGGTCTGAGATTTTTCACCTTTCTTTTTTTATCAGCGACAGCTGACGCTGTTATGTAGTCGTGAGTGAAATGATCACAGTGTACAGTATATACTGAATGTCTTCAGTTAATAACTGACTAACAGGTACAATTCCACTCATAAAATGTAGACACTGCTTGTTATGATGGTGTTTGCTGATGACTTGGTATTGTATATTGAAGGTACCACTATGATCGCTGCACTCATTGACCATGGAACGCCATGAAAAATAAACTTTTTCAATATGTTTACCACTGATCAAGCGCAACATACTAAACTAAAAACTTCCTGAAAGAGTTTTCAAAAATAAAAGTTTCTCAGAAATTAATAAAAAATGCACTCATTTGCCTTAAAATATGTCGTAATGAACTAATGGTGTAGCAATTACTAATGGTTAAAAATCTTTTTTAGTACATTCACCATTGATCAAAAGCAACATACTATACTAATAAATTCATAAAAAAAGTCTTTAAAAAAAAGTTGTTCAAAAATGAATAAAAATGCACTCATTTGCCCTAAATCATGTAGCCATGTCCTTTTTTATGGTTAGAATATATACATTTTTTGTATGTCAACTTTTAATCAAAACCAACATACTATACTAATAGGTTTCTGAAAGGGTCTTCAACCTCTCCAGACTGGCCATCGCAGCCACTTACCTCAGCCGCTAAGTTAGGTGTGTGAGCTGGCTGTGTGCATGCATGATTTGGTGTAAACACTGCCTCTGATTGGCTTATCAAGAAAGCTTTTCTGCCTTGGCCAATCATCAATTGTTGCATCAAGTATGCAGTTGTCTCGTCCCTCCTGTGGCGGAGTCCAGTTACAACAGTTTTAGTTTATAACAAGCCCCAATTTAATTGTAGGTGACAACATTGTAACGATGGAAATATTAATTAGTTAGACTACAGGTTTCCTGAAAAAATGAACACTGTTAGTAACGCTCTTTATTTTAGCATCGGTATTCCCATTACTGGCACTAGTTTGGGAGTCAGTATATCCATTTTTGGTTTTAAAAAAACAGACCAGCAACCAACTGTGAGCCTAAGAACAAGATATACAGGTTAAAATTCAGGTTGTTTTAACTACTTAATTACAAACCCTAACCCCGGTGTAAAGCTATTTATGGTTGGCTTTACTGGTTGGATTTCCAGTAAGAAAAGCTTGAAGTTGTGACAAAGACTTCAACAATGATGAAATAAAGAGACGACATTAGTCCTACCATTATATGTCACTCTGGGTTTGGTTAGACACAAAACCAGATGAAGGTCCATCTCATCCGAGGGCACAAACTTGGAGCAGACAGGACACTTGAAGCCTGTGAGGAAAAAAAAGGATCAAGCACAATTTTATTACTAGTCAATTGCATGAGTTTGCTGGAAACATCTAACAAAACTAGAGTCAACTCTTTACCGTACTGATAAAACATTCCTTTTATTCCTTAAAAGGATTTTAGAAAAAGGCAGCTACGTTGCTAGGAAGGTGGCTTTTTGATGTCAGTGGGGGTTTTATTATTGGACGATTTCTAGTGTCTGCTGGTGTTGAGTTGCTAACTCTAGGAATCTGCCCACTTTCTTTACAGTAATCACATGAAAAAAAAAACTAAAAATCTAAGGTGCAAAATAAATTTTGACAATAATTGTGAAGTTCCCAGTTTCCAAAAACACCTAAAAAAAAGACATTTTTAAGACATTTAAAATGTTTATCTTTTTAGATAACTATTTTCATTTACACAAAAATCTTATTAGACTTACTATACTTACCAGGTACAGTTTTACCCACAGGCAATTGTTTCAAAAACAGGAAGAGTTAAAGAGGAAGAGCCATAAACCTTTACGGCTGTTACCAGGGAGACGCTGGTAACACACACACACACACACATATATATATATATACAGTATATCCTATAGTGGGTTGTCTGTTTGGTTGTGCCATAGTGGTTACACATTGATACTCACTTACATATTTACTTATTTATTTATTTTTAAAATCTTACTTTCTCAAGTTAGACATTACTTACTGCCTTATCATGAAACCAATGCGACTTTTCAATTTTTTCTTAATAAGAAAAGCTAAACAACAGTCTCCGGGCCACAACCTTCTAGAGTTTAAATACTGCCAAGTGTAATTCTTCATAAGCTTATCTGATGGTCATCAGATTGGAGCGTTGGAGAAAATCCCAGAGTTCACACCGTTCACTGAATCAGCACATTGTGGAGTTGATGGGATTTATGAATCATTACTTCACTGACCAGTTCACTGATCATTTAATAGCTTTTAATCTCCCACATGCAGAGAAGTGTGACGAATGAGGGAATCACGCTGCAATAACTTCAGGGGAGGAAAATTACTTTATAGTACAGAAGACACAGGTCACGAATTGAGACAACAAACGGTCCAATAATTATGTTAACAAAATATGTGGGCTTCTATAATTCATTAAAAATCTGGTTATGTCCTCTTCAGATAAATCACATCCACTTAAGACATATGATGAAAGAAAACTTTTCATTCTAGGAAACATGTAATCCAAAAGTTTAATTCAAAGAACATAGATTATTATTTAACAAGCTGCTATGTAATGAACATCTTTCTGTATAGGTTATATAAATATCAATAAATATCTAATATACTTGTACTTCTCTGCATGAAAACAAAGGGGAAATATGGACTTATTGTTATTTATACTTAATTATGAGTTTTGCACCCCTGGTTTACACTAAGTTTGACCTATATTTTGTGCTACGTGTGGGATGTTAACATTGTTAGCACATTATCTTTAGCTAGGTCTTAGCTAGAGTGTTTTTTCTTTCTTTGGAAATAAATTCCAACTTTTTTTTAGACATTTTTACTAGTAAATTATAGAATATTAAAATGACACTCATTGAGCTATTTTTTTTTAGACGTGCCAGACTGATTGGCTACCAGAGCAGCAGCAGGCTGATAGAGAGAGTGTGATAGAAACTGGTCCGGTGCCAGACCCACAATCTCCTTCTCTGCTTATTTGAATAAAATGACAAGAAATAAGGTGCAAAATGTGTGGGAAGTGAGGACGCAGTTGGAGAACACAACCACACTAATACATCTTCATCTCCTAGAGCTGTTCTAAAACTAGAATGATTTCTGTACAAACAAGTTTCTGTGACACTGAGTGTGGAAATGTTCAATTACTCGCCTGTGAACAATAATAATGTGAAATCCAAACAGACAACTGAGCAATCACACACCAAGACTGTTTGTACATGACAAGCTATCTCTCAGTTCTGACTCCGTCAGTCTCCTTGTATTGGTTCAGACCAAGGCATAAAATGATTGTCTAAAAATAAATGCCTTGTTCACCACGGAGTAACACCTGCATTTTAATCACTGGACCAAACAGCAGCGTGTTTCTATGATGCTATTTAAAAAAAAAAAACTTTCATCTCTTTATGGACCTAGTTGGTAGTGAGGTAATATTTATATAGAGTAACAAAATAATGGTGACTCCTGGTTATTTTGGTATAATATTTCCTAAACTAGCCTAGATCTAGCAACATTATATTCAATACTTTAATGTGAATCTGTACTTTCAAAACAATGTTTTTACTAGGGATGCCTTAGCAACAGCAGCCTGTGGCATGTTGGAGGAGAACAGAAGGTATCAGGTTATTTATTATCAGTATCTGCAGATACTCCGAGTTGCAGTATTGGTATCATACATGAAAAAGCGTTATCAAACCATACCTAGTTTTTGCAAACTTATTAGCTGTATTAAACCACTTGCACGTTTCCAGCTGGTTACAGTGTGTTGTTCCAGTCAACTACCTGAGAGAATATTGTTGATGCCAACGGGAACTATGTTCTTGCATTAGCCTTTTGGGCTACAACCCGCTGAAGATTATGCATGTGGTATATATCAGTAGCCTTTCATGACTCAGAGAACATGACTGAGAGAGTAAGTACAATTGGGGTTGTCTATACCAAGTGTAATTATAGTCCTGCTGGGGAGAACCAAGGCAGGTCTTAACGCCAATCTCTTCAGAAACCAAAGCAAGCCAAACATCTGCTGCAGCATTCTAATAAAGACTCAGCAGCAGAGATTAGGAGAAGCAGGTTAAGCATCACTGAATGATCCCATTAAGGTAGATTTAACCTGCACTGACTCCCTGCACTAAACCCAGCTCCACACTGTGCTGATGGATGACTCACACAGACCTGGGGACATTTTTTTACCTTCCACAGTCAGACCCAATGTTATTGTTTTCAGCAGCAGTGTGCTAGTCTGGAGATCACTCTCCTTTATCATCATTATTAATGACTGCGACAATAAAAGGCTGTTAGTGCTTCGTCCCAGAAGCCCATTCTGTCACTGTGTTTTATTTAACAAATTAACCATTTGTTATCAAAAAGGGTTATCATAGATGTGACTGAAGATAATTATCAATAAACAGATGCTCAGCTGTTATGGTGCTGATTTGTGATAGTATTACCAGGTGAGATGAACGGCACAGACGCTGCTGGTTGTTGCTCCAGTGCAATGGCATTAGTGAAATTTAATGATGACACAGCAGAATAATATCTGTGGTTGACCAATAAGGCTGAACCTGGTCCTGGCTGAGTCTGGCTCCTCTTTCTACACCACAGAATCTCCCAGCTGTCCTTTCTTATCTCCTCTGTCTGTTGGTGCACTGAGCCTTGGTTGCACTGCTATTATCTCTCACAGTAAGACGGCTGCATTTTCTTTTAGGGAAAGCTCTAGTGTGATAGTGGCAATGACAGGATGGAGGCAATGACCGCAGCATTCCCTCACACTGACAGGAGGCCAGCTCAGGAGAACCTGGGCTAGTTTGAATCTTTATGCTGGACACAGAAAAGATTACCCAGTGTGCACTAAGATTTAAACAGGGTAGGTTATTTTCATTGAATCACATTTCTACTTATGATAACTTTGACTTTTTTTTTTCAACACTGATGTAGTGGATGGCGAGGGAAGTGTTGTTGTTGAATCACATGAATTTATGTGTCATTTTTCGCATTGTTGTGCACTTTCGTAAAACGGTAAAAGCTGCTTTTTAGACGATGTGCTAATGTACGAATGTGTGGATAAACAGAGAGTGGTGAGGTCTCGTTTAAAGACCATCTGAACTATTATATATCTAGATTTCTAGCTCAACAGAAACAACTTTCTTCTCATATTTTTTCTATTTTTCTACAGTGTCCAATTAAATTTAAATTGCTTGGTTAGAACAGCATCATGGCCTCATATCTTGTAATCCGGCCCCTGTGCATCATCACTTTGTTACTATGACAATAGAAATGTGAAAAAAGAAAGCTCTCTTGTGCAACCTCACAGAACATGTCTCGTTACGGCATGAATAATAATAGGGAGATTACTTTTTCCTAACACTCAATATTGTCTAGCTTAATGTTAAAGCTCGATATCTTTAATGCATCAATGATTTACTAGTTTTGTGGGTATATAGTTAGTGTCCAATGTACAGTTTTCCTGTGGATTATGTATATATGTAGTTAGTTACTATTTGACCACGTATTTTCAAAATTTCAGGATTGGCCACATGTTAATTATTACGAAAAATGTACATCTATGTGTTGTAGATCAAGATTACACTCAGTTGTTCAACAAGTTGGTTATTTACAGACACAATGTACTGACACTGCAGCATCTGCAACAGAACTCTATGAAAGAAACACATAAAATACCTATTTATACTTTCTCAATTTAGTCTGTACAAGTGCAAAATAAAATACTATATTCTTTATAAAGAGTGATTAATTGCATCATGTTTTAATTACACGTGCTCAGCGGTGTATATGTTATTAGGTGTTACACAATAATAATTTCAACAAGTTTTAATTTACAAAATATTTACGCTTGTGGATAGTGGATAGTAGTTTGTTGCATTTATTTTTGATTATTTGCTTTTGAATCATATTGTTTTATTTACTCAGACTTCACCATACTTCAGTGTTACTCCAGTTCACCGACTGTGATCTGTGTCATGTCCACACAAACAAACAGTTCTATCTTCTTACCTCCAAACAGATTAGGAGAGAGGTGAGCAGGCAATGATCCTATCAGCAGCCGGGGACCTTCTCCGCCTGAGCGCCTCCTCCCCGCCGCTGCTGCCGTCGCCTCTTCCGGGCTGCTGCCCTCGGACTCCGGGGAGCTGTATGCTCCGCTGCTGTTCGGAATGTTGATACCAGACCTCGATCTGGTCCCGGAGCCTCCTCCTACAGACCTGGCCCTGGTTGAGATGCGGTGACTGGTGTCAGAGGTGGCACCAGAGGCTGCGGACGCACCGTAGCTATGGTACCTGCTGACCCCAGCGGTGGTGGCGGCAGAGCTTCGGCTGCTGCTGCCGTTGCTACCGGACGTGCTGGTGGGCAGGTCCGAGCCGGAATAAGCTCTGGTCCTGCCGTTAGCAGCTGCACTAACGGCCGGGGGGCTGCTGCTCTGCTTTGCCCCCATCTTCACCTCCACGGAGTTCGGTTGTAAAAACGTTAAAGAGCCACTGCGGGACGGTGCACCAGATTTACACCACAAACAGATGACTTTCTACGGGACAGACGTCCGGGTAAAAGAAGAGAAAACTCCGTTTAGACATGAACAAAACCCCGGACAGAGAAAAGTGAAAATGCACATCCATTACAAGCGGCTCATTTATAGACGAAACTTTATTCTCGGTCACCATTGTCCTCCGTCAGTAGTAATAACAATAACAGTTGTGTGGCGGCGGTGCTGGAGCTCAGCTCCGGCCGCTGCTTCCTCCTTCTCAGTGTCCGCTCTTTCATGACTCCCGGGCGGCGGCAGACAG